CCCCGCACCCCACCCCAACAGGGAGTAGGAACCATCAATTTTATCAACTGAGCACCGTAGGTGCCCGTCTCGAAATATGACCCTCGGTTTGAGGGTCAAAAGAACCGTTGGGTTATTGTTATCACCACCATCACAACAACCGCCACCACTATTATTATTTTTATTACTATTACTCCTTACTTCGTTAAACAGATTGCACTTTTGTTTATTCCCATGTTTTTGTTGATCATTTGATACAATTAAAATATTGTTATCACCTCTTTTTTGTAGAGCTTTTGATGTTGTTTTTAAATATGTAAGTTTTATTTTTTATTTCTATACCTATTTGTACATAAAATACAACACCATTGTTCCATTGCCTCAAAGGCTCCCGACCATTGCGGGGTAAGGGGATCAGATGTACGGAGTCTAACCCCTATGTTTAAAACATAAAGCTGTTGTTTCCGGATGAGCCATGATAAAATAAATTTTAAAACATGGGGTTTTGCACGTTCTTCGAAGAGTGAAATCTATTTAGGGACGAGGGGAGTATTTGTTTCCTATTTGTAGTCTTATTCTATTTTAGTCAATATTCCTAGTAAGGTTTTTTGTTTCGTAAGTTGTGTTATGGTAGAATTATAGTAAGGGCTTTGCCTATTTATATCAGAGAACTCTATCAAGTATCAATAAAGATATCGTTGAAGCAATTCAACAACTTTTCCTAAGTAGTCACAGACTATAGGATCTCAAGTTCTTTTAGCCACAAGAAAGAAAGTTGTTCTTCATCTATCTCAGGGGATCTCTTTGGTCCATAACAAATTGCATAGAACAAGATTCTTGTTATTAAGTGAGTTTAGTAGATAGTTCTTTTCCTTTATTGTTTTTGTTTCTAAAAGCTTCATTTTGAGATCGTACCACGTTCCATCTAATTAACATAGAATTGCATGTCATGTGCTTTCGTAGTAATAATTAATTTGAGAAATGCTTACGAGATGCAGAAATTGCAAATGGGGATGAACAAGTCAAAGCTGATGCTATGCGAATTGGCCATTACACTGATGGACAGCTCCCAGTAGATAGCAAAGAATTTGCTAGACGTATATTTTATACTGTTTTCATGGGGTCTGAAAATAGGTATGTTTTTAAGACTAGTATTTTGGTACCTTTAAAGCTCTCCTTTCCATTTGTGGTTAAAGATTGTGTTTTAAACAAGTACACTTGAATACTAACTAGGAAGTGGCACAGAGAGCCCCTCACAAATTTGAAATATTTGATACACTTTACCACCTTCAATATGGAATGTTTATCTTAGTTAGGGTTAAAAATCACACAGTGCATGCTCTTTAAGGCCTTCCCATTTCTTTATCCATTCAACCTCAACCTCTCCCTCTATCTTATCACCAGTCTGGGCTGTTCAGCTGTCTATTAATAGGCAATGTCAAGAACCGAAGTTACAATGAAAAGATTTTAGGTTTGATTTGATACTGAGTAAACCAGGTGAGCATGAGATGGTGGCAGCCTCCTGCCCTGGAATCTTCCAACAGTATGACAGATTTCTGGGTGAAGTTGCCAGCGGTCCAAATATACATATCTGGGAGAAATCTGGGTGGAGGTGGTAAAGTGTACAAAACAATCTAAAATTTTACATCCCCTCAGATTGTATGGGGCAACCATCTGAAATTGAATAATTGTATATAATCTTTCATTTAAGTATGTGTGTGTGTGTGTGTATATACATACATACATACACACACACACACAATATATATATATATATGCCGAGTCATCTAGAGCCACATGATTCTGATTACTAATAAAATATAAGCCAAAAACGACCTGATGAATTAAGTTTTTTTTTGTAGTGTACACATGAACCTGAAAGCAAAGTTATCCAAGATTCTCTCGTCTTCTGTTTTTTATATTTAAATTTAGAATTCATTCTTTAAACAGTCTGCATATTGGTGGTTGCATGTTATTTTTTATAAATTAGTTCTGAAGCCACCAAATATCGGGCAAAGCTTCTGGCAGATGAAGTTGGATCATGGCATCTAAATATTAACATTGATGGGGTAGTTTCATCTATGATCTCTTTGTTTCAAACACTTACGGGGAAGCGCCCACGCTATAAGGTAGTATCATTGTCATTTCACTTTTTTTTACTGTGTATAAGTAAAAGACATCTTAATCACAATTATATTTAGTGCATTGATTAGATCCATATTGATGAATTATTGATCCTTATATTCTAGGTAGACGGTGGATCAAACATTGAGAACTTGGGGCTACAAAATATTCAAGCTCGAGTTAGAATGGTCCTAGCATTCATGCTAGCATCACTTTTGCCATGGGTTCACAATAAACCCGGTTTTTATTTGGTATTGGGTAGCTCCAATGTTGATGAAGCATTGCGCGGGTATCTAACAAAGGTAGCCAGCAGTCTTTATTTATTTATCTATCTACTCCCTCCGTCCCACTCTCTTTGTCCACTTTACTTTTGGCACAATTACCAAGTAAGTGGGACAATAGAGTATAGAAGGACTAAACTGCCCTTATGGGCCACGATGAGAAGGATAGGAAATTGATCACTGTAGGAAGCATTGAGCATTTCAAATGTACTGTACAAAGCACTGTGCAATGCATTTTCTTCCTTTAACCACACGTGAACTTGAAGGGTAAAGCAGTCTTTTAGATAAGTTTTTCTTACCAAATTAAGTAAGTGGACAAAAACAGTGGGACGGCTCGAAAAGGAAAAGTGGACAAAAACAGTGGGACGGAGGGAGTATTTATTTATTTAATTATTTATTTATCTATTCATTAATTTTGCACTTATTTTTCTGGGACAATTTATAAATATTGAGAACCCAAAAGCAAGATGTGCAAGTATAGGAGAAGCATACCCAGCTAATATACACTGTTGGGATTTATCGGTTGTTGTGATCGGGGTCCAGCTATAGTTGAGATTTTGTTGATGGGGTCCAGATTTGATTCTGTTGGGATTCGGGATCATTTTTATTCTCTAATCGGATCGGAATGGGATTCATATTATTTTTTAAAATTGGGATTGGATCATCCCAATCCCACCCTTACAGTCCTAACTCCTACATGTAGGCCAACACTCAAAAAGTGATCGGACTTGAAGGATAACGTTTGCACAAAACTTAGCAATAGCACCATCAGAGTAGCTCTAATTGCTCCATAGGACATAAATTGTTGCTTCAAAAGCAGGTCTCTATATGTAGTTATTTTATGTTATTAATATTCATAATAGAGTCTGTTAGGGTCATTTGTTTAACGTGTCAGATATATTATTTTATATATGTTAGTTAGTAAGTAGTAACTAATGTGTAAGTGGGCCTAACTTCTAGGAGTAGTTGCTAAGTAATGTAGTAATGAGCCTAAAGTCTAGGAATAGTTACTAGGTAAAGTGGTAGTGGGCCTAAATTCTAGGAATTGATAGTTATTTGGCTTTTATAAATATTGAGCCTCATTATTTGTAAAAGTTATCCAGAAACTAATTCAATACTCATTGTTGGAGATTCTCTTTGGCTTTATTACTTATATGAGTTTAAGATTTTTGCTCATATTTTTATAAAGATTTTACTTTAATTTATTTTATGAAGTTAGATGCTGATTTCATAATTTAATAAAAATTATCCTTCATTTATATTCCTTGGCACTTCTGAGTTCAATTGTTTGGTATAAGAGACATAAAATATTTATGGGTTCCTTCTGCAAAAATTCAGTTTGTTCATTTTCTCCATACAGTTTCTCATCCAACAGTTATTCGCTCGCCTTGATTTCATTAATTCCAAACAGGCAGCATGAACTAACTCTTAATTTTGTGACACCCTACACAAGAATCACTTCTAGTAACTTCCATCTAGAGGTGAAAGGATAGAAAATTCAAAAACCGAAGGGTAGGGTTACATTTGTTTGTAAGCCCAAACACCCTAACATTGCAGCCAGCCGCTTCAATTCCTTACATCTAACATGTAATTTTCTACATGATGAAAGGGGAATTTCAATTGCAACTCTAAGTCGGCACGTGGCAGTGAATGCAATCATGTTGTCTTCACAGTGCCCCTCCACAATCTTGAGTAGAACATCTCTCATGGATGGAAATTGGCAACGGCAATCCAAATCTTGTTTGTTCCAATATGAAGGAATGATTAATATTGGTAGAGTGCTGTCCAGGACGGGTGAGGTGGCCAAACGTCGGGTGGAGTACTTCTATGGCTTCTTGAATGCGGGAGGAGATTCGAGGCTAGAACTAGGGGAGCTGGGGTAGTCTGAGATGCATCAAGACTTTGGGTATTGCCGATGCATTAGTAAGGAGGTCACTCGAGCCCATCCGCAGGATGAGAAGTGGGAGAGCTTTGGGGCCGGATGAGATTCAAGTGGAGTTTTAGAAGTGTGTGGGCCACAGAGGGTTGATTTGGTCATTTGGATAACCAATCTATTTAATGTTATTTTCAGGACGACTAAGATGCATGACGAGTGGAGGGAGTGTGTTGGTCCCTCTGTTTAAGGGTAAGGGTGACATTCAGAGTTGTGAGAATTACAGGGGTATCAAATTACTTAGCCACACAATGAAGGGTTGGGAGTGTGTCATTGACTTTAGGCTGCGGAAGGAGGTGTGTGTTTCAGAAAACCAGTTTGGTTTCATGCCTGGCAGATTGACCACAGAGGCCATTCACCTTCTACAGAGGTTGATGGAAGAGTATAGGGCTAAGAGGAAAGATCTTCATTTGGTGTTTATTGACCTCGATAAAGCATACGCTCGTGCAGTTAGAGATATGTACTGCAGGGTTAAGACTAAGGTAAAGACTGTTGGGGTGAATCAGAGTCTTTCTCCATAGAGGTGGGGTTACACCTGCCTTTAGCCCATTCTTGTTCGCTTTGGTGATGGATGTTTTGATGCGGAGAGTCCAAATGACCGCATGTTTAGTTGCTTAAGTAGCTTCCCCAAAGAGAAGAACTCATGGACTGCATTTATACGTATCTCTAACAATGGTCCATTGTTTTTTTCAAATAGCAGACGAGGACTCGTGGACAGGGTCACCTCTAAGAATGGTCCATTGTTTTATGTAAAAGCAGAAGAATATCCGGACCGGATGCTCTCTCTTCAACAATATTAATTAGTGCCTCTTAAATTTCCTTCGCGAGAATGGGTGCGGAAAGATCACTCTTTAGGGAGCTATCCACTCGCAGTTCTAACTCCCACACTTCATTTTGTGTGACCTGTACATCAGTGGAGAAACCAAGTAGGTTCCTAAAAAAGTCAACAAGAATATTTGCCACCTCGTCCATAGAAAGAAGTTGATCTACTGTCCTTTATTAAGACATGAAAGACTTCCCGCTTCTCCGTTTTCTAACAATCGCATGAGTACCAGGTGCATTCGTGCGCTTCCATTATATATGATCACACTTGTCTTCTGTCTATAGAAAAGATATTCCGCCTCAAGTCTGCTTTCTTCCTTTGTGGTTTGAGTAACTTAATAAGACGAGATTACTCGGAACATCATAAAGAGGAGCTTCATTAGCGCATTTGGAACACTTAGAAATATGGCCACACTCATCTCTATTAAGTTTCCATAATGGCCACTTGAGAAACTTGAGTTTTGAAAAAAATGTAAAATGGGTTGTGCCATCCACCACCTGCCTCTAACAATCCTGCTGCACCAAAGAAGGGAACTGTGGGTGTTTAATCCACATGTTAAAAGAATTAAGAAGTTTGAGCCTTGAGGAGAAGGAGTCTCCAAGGGAATCACTGCCAGAGAGTGGTCCGTCACCGGCTCCATATCCAAAGAGTTTACAAAACATGGTATGTCAATAGATCTCCATAAAGCGGTCAAGTTTACCCCAAAGATGTTTGTTAAAACTTCCACGTAGAGAAATGGCCACTGGAGGCAACATCTTCAAGCCTCAAGGATAGCTGGATATCCACAAAATCTCTGAGAAGGTAAGGACTAAGGAAATGGTGCATTAGGGGTGTTCTTTGGCTAGGGTGTGGGATGTTTGATGTGCATTTTGTGCTGTTTTTAAAGTTTGCATTGTTGTTGTTGTTGTTGTTATTGTTGTTGTTGTTATTATTATTATTATTATTATTATTATTATTATTATTATTATTATTTATTACCATCATTATCACTAATTCACTATATCCTCCCATGCGGTGCTGTTGATCTATAGAATTTATAAAAGTGACATGCACATAAATATTGGAAGCGATATATACCGGCATTATTATAATCACCATTCGCATGTTTCAGTATGATTGTAGTTCAGCTGATATAAACCCAATTGGAAGTATCAGCAAGACGGATCTCCGAACGTTTCTGAGATGGGCAGCCACTCATCTTGGTTACTCATCCTTGGCAGAAATTGAAGCAGCTCCTCCCACTGCCGAATTGGAGCCTATACGGTCTAACTATAGTCAGGTTATAATTTTTGTGTTTCGTTCTATTCTCTCAGTCTGTGTTCTGGATATACCTTGTATTCCCTCCTTGATTCATAGTTCTTGCGTGCACATCATAAATGTATGAATGCTCTGTTTATGTGAAACAGCTGGATGAAGTGGACATGGGAATGACATATGATGAACTCTCAGTCTATGGAAGAATGCGTAAGATCTTCCGATGTGGGCCTGTATCGATGTTTAAGGTTTGCCACCTGCCGTATGGAATATTATTGGTTATAGATCTTATATAAATTGTAGTGTTTGCATCACACAAAAATTGGCCTTGTAGAACCTTTGCTACAAATGGGGTACAGTATTGACTCCAAAGGAGGTGGGTGACAAAGTAAAGCACTTCTTCAAGTACTATTCCATTAATAGACACAAAATGACTGTCTTAACACCTTCATATCATGCGGAGGTGCCTCTCGTCTTCTTCTTTAGAGCTGAGTTTTGAACATTCAGTTTACACACCCACCTACACTATACCTCTAGTCTGAACTCCTTGTGTTATGCAGAGTTACTCACCGGAGGACAACAGATTTGATCTTCGACAATTCTTGTATAATGTGAAATGGCCTTACCAGTTCCGGAAAATTGATGAACTTGTAGATGAGCTTAACGGTGACCATGTTGCTATTACAAAATCAACATGCCAGGAAACGGACACGGTTGATGGTGATGGTGGTGGTATGGGTGTTGTGGCAGCAGGTGCAGGCAACCCTAAGGCTGGGCTTTAAGTTTCTCATCAAATTGCTTTAAACCTCTTGCCATAAAAACTCGGTTTTTACACTCTGGATGATGCCACGCTTCCCCCATCCAATGGCCCAAGGTGGAGGTGGTGAATCGCCAATAGGGATGAAAATCAATTCTGAGTTCCTAGCCGTTGCACATTGGTTCAGGGGATGCCCTCATTATCGTTATCAACGTTATTCATTATCATAATTATTTATAGCATTTTTACTTGTTTTTTGCTTGCATAGTTGCGTCTGTTGAAATCACTTGTCAAATAAATAATTCTTTTTCTTGAATATACCTGTGGCAAATGGTGAAGCTATAGGTAAGTGTAAGATATTGTAATGGCAACTAATAGGAACCAAGCTGTGATAAAAACTTCAGCACTACAATAATCCAAGTGAAAGAAACAATCTTCTGAGAATTGCTGCATAGAAATGTTGTACGGAGTAACATATAGTAGTATATATTTTGTGCGTGTGTGAGAAACACCTTGCCAATTTATTACTTCATCCCAAAATATCTTCAAATATAAAAATGACACAGATTGATATGTGTTCGTGTGTTGGGAAACACTTAGGCAATTTATTACTTCATCCTTAAATAGTACTCTCTCTCTTCCTAAATAATTGTCTATTATAACTTTTTGGGTCTGTTTGGGAATAGCGTTAGATTAGCGTCAGTGTTTTGGATAAAATTTTAACGGTGCAAATTATTTTGAAAATGCTGCCCGTAAATAGCTTTTTTAAAATGCTAATGCTAATCTCTAACACTATTCCCAAACAAGTCCTTTAATTACATTAGATTTTGAATAAATGTGACAAACATTATGTCCATTGTCCACATTCATTTCTCTTAAACGATTCTTGAAAGCTTTATTAGATAGTTATTTAGAAATGGAGAGAGTATCTTCCAATATGAAAATGACTCAATGAGAGTAAGAGAAAATGTAGTAAATGACCAAGAAAATTCTTTTAGCCTATGAATTTAAGTTGTATTATTAGTAGTATTATCTAAGTAAGAAAGCAAAAATATTCTCATGCAAATTATATTCATACAAAATTTCTCCAAGTAAAATATTTAGTATTACTATTTGTATGTAAATCATTAAAATAATGAAAAGTAAGAACTCATGTATGCATAATACAATCATCATTAATCTAATGACATGTAACATCCATATAAGACATATCATGGTAATAGTCACTCCAAATATCAGAACAAATTTTAACACGACTATTGAAATGTACGATTGTGCGAAGTAGTTTACTAATTCATTGTTTTTTGCATGATATTGATTAATGAATTCTTATTTTATTTTCTTCTTAAAACACCGTACTCTTGAAGGTTTAGTGTGATTGGAAGGTAATCAATAAAACCATATTTTTTAGAAAACATGAACATTAAACTTTCTTCACAAATTATTTTTTTGTTAATTTAATTTGTCGGTATAGTTGAGCTCTCTCATCGAGTAGGGGCCCACAAAGTCGAGTCAAGTAAAAATCTTCACACCCGAGACTGGAGGTCTCCATCGAATTCTATCGATGAGCGCAAATATGAACCTGCGAGAGAGGGTTTCCACATTTGCCTTAGAGAAGAAGACTAAGGGTCCGTTTGGTACGCGGAATTCAAGCCACTGAACTGGAATTGGAGACTTTAATTCTAATTCTGATGTTTGGTATCAAAAAAATTTATAGAATTGGAATTCAATTCTAATTCCAAAATTTTCAATTCTCATTTTAAATTCCATACCAGGATAAAAGAATTGGAGTGAACTCCACGGGTCAAATAAAAACACGCGGATCTTTCTCGGGTCGGATCTTAGATCTAATTTTACGCAGATCTAAACTTCCACTCCCTGCGCTCTTTCTCGCTTTCTCTCTCGGCTCTCTCATCTCTCTCAGCTCTCTCATCTTCGATCTCCATGGGTGACCCTCTCAGACATCTCGCAATTCTCCATGGGTGAGGGTGGCGACATCTGGTAATTTTCTCTCTCTCTCTCTATCTTTAAATTCGATTCTTTTTTTTAGATTTGTTTTTCGATTTGTCAAATCTTTATCAAATCGATTGTAGTTGTTAGCTAGGGTTTTAATGGCTTTTGAATTACTTTATTGCAAAGATTTCGCGTTCGAGGTTTATTTTGCTACCAAATCTCTGTGTGTTTGAATAATTGATTAAGGACATGGATTCTACTACTAAGGTTGGTACAACTAATTCTGGTCTTGGATGGTATTTTCCCCTAATTTATGTCTGGTTTTAGATTTTAATGCATTTAATTTGTGGTGTGGAAAGTCTATGTTTTATAAATTTGATGCATATTGCTTTGTTTGCTGAATCTCTGGAATAGATGACTAACTATATGTACATTTGATTGATTATTGCTTTGATGCACATTGCTTTGGTTTTGCAAGTACCCTGTTTTCTTTAATGTAGCATTTTTTTTCTTTTTAGTGCATGGATATCCATGTGTCTCACTCTGATGAAGAAAGTGAAGAAGATAGTTCTTCTAGTAAGATATTTACTGCTCTTCACGTTATGAATTTTGCTACATTAGTTGGTCAATGGAATGAACAAAGCATGGTGAAAGAACCCAGTCTTGACTTTGGCTTAGCGCGAGAATTATATATTAGGCGGCTCTATTATGGAAGTGGCCAGAGTGACGTGGTGATCAGTTGGATTTTTGATAAATTTAAAGTTTTTTTTATTTAGATTGACTCTCTCTTGAATTCCCAGAGAAGTTAAAAAGCACGCTCTGTAGGATTTGAACCTACCACATTGGATTTTGGAGACCCACGTTCTACCGAACTAAAAAACTCAAAAGAGTTGGGATTGAAAAACTCAAAAAATTGCACCTTACAGGAAAAGAATTGTGATAGACAATTGGGATGATATTTGTACTCTTTTCTCTCAAGATCGTGCGGATGGGCAAGGTTCAAGAACAATTCAAGAAAACATTGATGAGATTGAGGTTGATTCTGCTACTATCCCAGATTCACTTGACAAGTGTGATGAAGTTGATGCTATAAGTGATTTGTTGGCTCGAAAAAAAAGAAAGGAGACAACGTCTTCCTCAAGTTCTCTAGGACCTAAGAAGAAAATTTCATCAACGACAATCATATCTGATTGTTTGCAGCGAATGGCGACTGATTTCAACGACTATTTGGCGGTGGAAAGGATAAGGTATGAGCTTCTTTTGGCTGAAAAGGAGTTAATGTTGGCAGAGAAAAAAAATTAAAGAAATCACCCTACGTAGCACTCTAACTCATCTAATACTACGCATTTAGCACTGCTTATTGTTTTTTACCAAATTAGCTATTTATGTTGTCAATCTCTTCCAATCATACCCTTGTTGTCAATCTCTTTTATCTATCCCACTATCAATTGTTTCAATTCCTCTTTCAACTCCTATATGAAATTCGGACTCACATAATGTATACTTTGTGCATAGTGGCATAGTACTCTTTTTTATCAAATTATTTCTTCAATCAGTTAAATGTAGTTTTGAATAAATATATATAATAAAAATACGATATATCAAAATTATATCATAAAAATATGCCAATTATAAATACTTCCTTCATCCCAAAATAGGGCTCTTATTCGATTTACGATGTTTGATTGAAGTTATTTTCAAATCAGTATAAGTAAAAATTGGTGTATAATTAAAAAAATAGGATTTATATATTAAAAAACTACATAAAAAATTCTATAAACAAGTGGTGACAATGGGACTTACATATAAAACTACCAATGTTATAAATTATTATTTGACTTTCATATTGTCCAAACAGCTTGTGGTTGATTTTATGACAATTGGGGTTTACAATGAAAGAGATTGTTATGAAATGTGTTACTCAATATGGTGGCTATAAATATATGGGCAGTACAGATTGATCATGTTCTGCAAACACTTTCTGGCAGTGAATTTGTCTTCTATATATAATGTGGCAGACAAGAGTGAAAATATGGCAGTGTATAAAAGTTCGTGGCCTAAACAAATTTGTATGTACTTCATTAACTTCCATTAATAATATGGCAGTGAAATTAGACATACATATAAAACTGTCAATGTTATGAATTATGAATTGAGTTTCATATTGTGCAAAAGCCATGTGCTTCATTCTATGACTATTGGATTTGAACATTCAAGAGTTCGTTATGGAAACGTGTTACTCAATAGGGGCTGATATTTTTTGACAGTGTGGAATAATCAACTTCTAGCTACACTTTTTGGAAATGTCCTATGACCATGTTTGCCTAGTGTGTTTTGGTCAAATAGGATTTATATCTAAAAATCCCAATGTAATAAATTATTCATTGAGTTCTATTGGAAGCGGATACAAAAAAAATCACCAAAATGACTAGTGCTTGAATAACTTTAAAAAACAAAGTATGAAGTGTAAGCTTAAAGATTTTTGGTAGTGTGGAATGCTTGTGATTTAGATATACTTTTTGGCAGTGTGTTATGTCCTATGTGTTGGCCAGTGTGCTATGTTGCACAATTCTACATAATGTTGCAGTGTATGCTACTTACAAAGTCTTAAAATTTACAACATAATACCTTCATTATCCATTTCTTTTCAGTACCACATAAATGAAATTCGGCATATGTCTAATACTAACATCTTCTAACATTATACAAAATCAAGAAAGACCAAAAAAAAGCCAAGTCCATGTTTGGCCAGTGTGTTTTGGTGTAATAGATTATTCATGAAATCAGTCATACATTTTTGGGCAGTGTGGAATTCATAAATGAAAAAATCATATACATTTTTGGCAGTGTGGAATTCATACATGAAAACAGTGTGGAATTCATACATAAAAAGAGCTATACATTTTTTGGGCAGTGTGAAATTCATACATGAAAATAATCATACACTTTTTGACAGTATAGAATTTATACATGAAATCACTGCCACATAAATCAATGGACATTACACTACAACATGAAATTAAGGAACACAATAATACATTTACACACTGCCGTAAAATATAACAACATATATCCATTCTACACTGTCACATTAAAAACTCACATAAAAAAACCACACTTCCCACTACACAATTACGATTGAACAACCACACTGCCCAAAATAATCATATTTTTTGGCAGTGCATAATGAACATTTCCTGTTTAATTAAAGGACAAAATCGGAATCACAGGTACAAAACATATAGCACTGTTATTTAGAGTATTTTAATGCTCTTAGAGTGCTATTTTGGTTTTTCTCCCAAAAAATTAATCCCCAAGAAATTTTGGCTGAGTTGAAGGCTATTGAACTCGATGACATGCAGATGATCAAGGCTGTGGATTTGATGATGCATGATCACATATTATTCAATACATTTGTGGGAATGCCAACAGAGTTGAAATACAAGTGGTTGAAAGTGCAACTCGATAAATGAAGCTGACACTTATTTTTA